CAGCAGTTTTACGTTATGCTTATGCACTGTTATGCATTCCATGTGTAACAGGCTTTAGAGTCTCCATACACAAAATTTCCGTAACAGTAACCTTAAGATGTGAACTTAAGCCGATGAGCCAATCATGATACTGTTTTAGATCTATGTAATTTAACGAAAAGCAGTAATCTTATACATGAAGCAAATTTCAACCGGTTGAAATTTGTCTTACGGATAAGTTTACTACAATTTTTGTTTCCGTCATATTACGTAAATCTAAAGCAGTATCCTGATTAGCTCATCGGCTTAAGTTCACGTCTTAGGCTAATATTACATTTATCATACGACAAATTTTTCAAGCGTGTTGACTGCAGGACAAAGAGATCTGAAAACCTTTTTGTCCTGCAGCCAATCAACGGGCTCGAAAAGCTTATTGTACGACAAAAAACAAACGCATGTAATATTGGCCTTAAGGTTACTGTTACTGAAATTTTGCCTGCAACAACCCTTAAGGCCATGGCACACACCTTCCGGAACAATAATCATAAGACGTACTGTGAAAATCAGCCAATTAGAATTAATAATTCAAAAGAATTCTCGCCCGTGATTGGCTGATTTTCACAGTACATCTTATAGTTACTGTAACGGAAGGTATATGTACACCCACGGTAATTGAACAGTGATTTTCGTCTAGGTGGGTTGATTCGTGGCGGGGGGTTGGGCACATCGAAAAGTGTTGGGACTGCATTCGGTTTAAGTTTTCTCCAGCCATCAATGCGGTGGGCTTCGAATTGGGAATCTTCAAAATGTACCTTGAAACAAACAAAAAAATATTATTAGCGTTGAGTATTAGGCCATTGTGTGATATGATAAAAAAAAATTATATCCTTATTTTGATACTTACCTCATACAATCGCGAAGAGGTGGTCGGTGTCCACTTATCTCGTAGCATATTGTCAATCGATTTTGTCTCACGTTTACCCTTCGGGAACGAGAAGAGCCTACAGCCCTTGTCAACCCGATTACTGCAATTAACTGCGGCACAGCCAGGCATTTTTTAAATGCGAATACTTATGCCCTTATACGATTTATTTCTGCATCAAGAAAATAACGTATTGAGGGTTATCTTTCTGAGACATAAATATTTGCAGATAAAAAGAACAAATTTCTATTCTGACACAGAAATTAATTATTTTCGTGTTTGTGTGAATGTCTTTTTTTTTAAATGGAAAAATACATACTTTTTGGATTAAATGCGGTGACTTTCGATGAGCATTGTAACACTCGCTGTAGTAAGGGTGCTATTACATGAGCGCGGAAACGCGGAAATGCGGAAACGTGTAACCAATCAAAAGCAATCCGCTGTTATGGTTTCGCGTTTCACCGATTACTGATTGGTTGCGCGTTTCCGTATTTCCGTGTTTCCGCACTCATGTAATATCACCCTAAAGGAGCCTACAGACCAGAGCGGCGTAGCGGTGAGCGGCGAGCGGTAGCCCAATAAAAGCCATGCTTCACTAATGATGTCACGCAAAAGCGTGGCTCTCATTGGGCTACCGCTCGTCGCTCACCGCTGCGCCGCTCTGGTCTGTAAGCTCCTTAACACTCGCTGTAGTGGCACTGATTTGGCACGAAAATGGTGGATAGGAATACTCCCATCTATAGTGCCTTAGTTTAACCTACAGGATAAGGGCCATGGCACACAAAAAAACTTAAGCAGTAAAATGTAAGCAGTAAGCGAATTGACCAATCACAGTAGAGTCCACAAGGCCGTAACATAAGCAGTAGCGAATCCAACATGTTGATTTCCTTACTGCTTACGTCTTACTACCTTAAGTTTTTTGTACAGCACTGGTCCATGCGTCCATGAAAGGTGGAACGAGTGTAATGTTGGTGACAGCCAATGCACCCAATAGGCCTGTTCTTTTTGGCTGAACTTTTTCTCTCCAGGAGTGCGTTCCAAAACTCAACTCCATCAACTCCGAGTATCTTTTATCCTTGTTCAACTGTCTTCAACATTCGGTGAAGAACAAGGATAAAAGATACTCGGAGTTGATAGAGTCGAGTATTGGAACGCACCTCAGGAGGAAAGAAGAGGAAGAAACATGAACCGTTGCAAAAGTTCAGCAAAAAAAAAAAAAAAACAGGCCAAGCGCTACGCACTGCATCAGCTGGTTGCTATGGTTGCTGTTGTGAATTGCTATCATCCATTACCACTGTGACGGGTGACCGTCAGTGACTGTCAGTGACCGTGTGACGAGGTGTTCTGGACAAATAAAAAGTGGTATTATATGAGGCGCGCAAAATTGAGTGCGACACACAATGTGAGATACACGATAATGTCGGAGGTCGAAGTGCGGAGGGGATACCTTTGTTCGTTGATTGTCGTCGCGTTGAATCGAATCGTTCTTTACCATTTCCCTGGATAACTCATGTACGCGCGCGCATGCGGTCCCGTTTGGGAGAGTGCGAGATAACGTGGTTCTGCGTGGCTCTCGACTCGATCGCGAGATTCGCGAGCGGGATTTATGTCAATGCAGCGACTGCAGCTGGATAATTTGCGGAAGAGGCGAAGATCGTCGGAATATTCCTTGCCATGTTCCCCTCTCTCTCTCTCTTTTCCTCTCTTCCATTTTATGGTTGGTGTCTCACGTTTTTCTTCGCGCTCGTGCAAAGTTCATCTCCGTCGATTCGTCATCGCGATAACGCGAGGGTGACAGCTCTGCGACAAGAGTCGCGTCTATCATCATAGTCTCGTGATCGCTGCCCACGCGCGGCGACAACTATCGCTGTTTGTTGAACTCGCGAAGCTTAAGCGTACTCGAGTTCTGACAATACTCGCCTAGCAGCTCAACGGGATGTCCATTAATCTGAGCGAGATCGATCCGTTCGGTGAGACGCCGATGGAGCTGCCTATGGAGCTGCCTATGGAGCAAGAATCCTACGAAGGTACGACAAGACACACGAGACGTCCGGTGATTTCGATCGTGATTGGTGATGATGATGTAACCGTTAAAGAATGTTATCAAGAGACGATTAGGCTTTATTGTTTCGTATGCTGGTGACCATCATATTTAGGCGCGTTCAGCGGACTTGACAGTTAAATAAGTGCTCGCTGCTATTCTTCTAGATCTAAATGTCTGATTGGATGATCTAGATATTCTAGAGGAGGAATACACCAATAACAGCGAATTCTCACTCACACAACTGTTGAGTCTTCTGAACGCAGCCATTGACCATTGTGTATTGAACTACAACTTACATTCCACAATTCAGTAATGGTCATTTTGGGCTCAGGACCTTAGTCCTGAAACACAATAGGTGTAGTAAGCCTTAAACTTTAAGAAATTGACTAATCATAGACTACGTTTACATGGCATCCTTAATCGGGTTTAATAACATCCGTAGTTATAAAACTAGCCAATCACAATCATTCTATTCTTCAGAGAAGTAGCTATGATTGATCAGTTTTATATGGATGTTATTAAACTCGTATTAAAGAATTACTGAGCCCTTACTAAGTCAGTTTTCTCTGCGCAATCATTTGTTAACTCGCTTATCGCGAGTAGACGCAATGTATTTGCGAGATATTTAAGTTGGGAGATCCTTGGGAGTTTGCTTATCTATTTAGATTTTTTTTACAACATATACGTAAATATCTTCCAAAAGTAATCTATAAAAATTTCAGCAAAGATTGTGTAAACATTTGCGTAAATGTTTATTTGTATTTAAAAGATTTTTTTATTTTTATATTTTTTATGAGTATCTTTTCTCGAAACATATCAATGCTTTAACAGATAAGAAATAATTCTGGACTTATTTAATATTTATTTCTACGTCTTTTTATGTAAAGATCTATGCACGATAAAAATCGGAGTGTGTACAATTATTATTGGTTAATATAATCGCTAATTATTGAAAGGATATGAGATGTGTAATGATTCAATTTTTGTCTCATACAAAGATGATGACCAAGCAATAGTGGAATCCAGTCCAAAGAACAATATAGAAACTAATGCTGTGAGTGAAGCAGATTATGCCGAGCCTTTGACCCCGGAAGAAGTACGGTGGTTTTATAAAGACGGCGTTGACAAAAGGTGGAACGAATTTTGCGGGTACGACAGTTTAAGAATTGAGAGAATTTATCGAGAACGTCAGAATTTAATTAGTGAAAATAATGATGGAACAAACTATTTGTCACCTGCTGAAAAAATTGTGGTTAGAGGTGGCATGTATGATGTCGAAATAGATAATATGAAATGCGTTTCGATATATTGGCCAGGTGAATATCACATATTTTATTTTCCTTTTACTCTTAGTTGTATTCTATTCTTTACACCGTTGCATATTTACTATTTTTGCCTATTGTCAAAGTCAACTCATGTAGCACAGTATTTATGCAAGTGACACAAGTGCTTGCTAATTTTGTAGGGGTTACTAAGCTACCTGAAAATAATAGTGTCAATAATAATGAATCAACAATTGATATGAATATCCATGAATGCCTTCATAATGATTCAATGCCTCTTTAGATTTCTGTATATTTTTCCATTGTGCATGCAGTAATGTATGTCTTTATATTGCACAGATTATTTTGTCCTTGAAGTTATTATAGCCAATTCGTATTGACTATGCCTATTATGACTTGCAACATGTGCGAAACAAATATAACACAAGCAATACATTCTATCGCTATAATAAGGATTTATTCAGAGCTCTCAGTAAAATATATGTTATTATTTATATATGTCACAATCGAAGTGTTAATTTAGTATGGATACACTTATTAATTTGATAAGTAAATGTATTCACAAGCACACAATGAAATTTAAATTTTTACGAGTAACGATAACGATTTGACTAATTACTTTTATTATTATTTTATCTCATAAACTGATTTTTAGCAAAAAAAATTACTTTCTGCCGCGAAACAAGAATTTTCACGTTTTGTGTATAATTGTTACACAAGACATAACAAATTTGATTTATTGGCAATGTCTGTCATTGTTAGATGATGACAAGAATCAAATAAACCATTGTATATATATATATTTCAGTTGAAAAAAGACCTTTATTTAGCCAAAAGTAGCATAAAAATTCTAGTTGAGCTGCTGCACTATCATTGTATTTTATACATGAAACAAATATTAAAAATAAAAGAAATAATTTAATGAGCCAAATTGAATCTTAATCATGGTTATTCTATATTATGAATTAAATGTACAGAACTCTTCCTTTAATTCGAGCATTTAGAATATTTTTGTTTTTAATAACAACATAACAATGTGATAAAATATAAACCAAAAAAGTTGTTTGTTTTGTAGAAGCAAATATTATCATAAGCAGCATATTTCTTCATACTTATTATTTTTACGAGATTTCAAAATCATTTCCAAATGGAGTTATATGAATTTTTCGCTCAATATGATTCCGTTTCTTATTCTGCAAATAAAAGTATTAAAATGAAATTATCAGAAAGTCAATAGTTCATGAGACATTTTATATTTTATTTTAGCATATTTCATGTCAAAATATGTTAAAATATAGTATGAAATATCTCGTCAACTACTGATTTTTTGATAATTTTATTTTGATATTTTCTCGTGTACAGAATGACTAAAGAAATCATTATGTAAAAGAAATCACATAATTTTGTTTTAAAAATAGAAATGTTCTTGTGAAATCTCATAAAAAGTATGAAAAAATATTAAAAATGTGATAATTTTTCTCTTCAAAACAATCTTTCTGTTTAACATTTTGTCGTATTATTAAAAACAACGGAAATGTTTTAAATGCTTTAGATGAAGGAAACACTAGGTATACTATATAATGGTAAATGCTTTGACTTCTAATCAGATCATATTCAATGCACTAATAAAAAATGGTAATATAAGCAAAAGTTAATCGTAGTCATCATAGTCAACTATAAATAAAATACATTTTGAAACTCCCACGTTTCCAAATCAAACATCTAGAAATGATTTTGCTATAAGTTATCAAATATAAAATACAATCACATCGGAATTATATTTCACAATTGACGACAAAATTATTTTTAACTATTTCGTTGTATGCGTGCGATACAATAGTTCCGAATTGTATTTTATTTATTTGACTATGATTAATGCTAATTCTTTCTCGTGCATGCGCGAAACGAGAGAAAACCATGGTGGAAGGATAACATGGTATGTGCAGTTTGCAAGTGTCTCTTTCTAATTCTCTCTCACATTGCGGTTCGGCATCCAGGCTTGCCAACTGCGAAGAAATAACTGAGGTTGTTGCAACTGAATTGAATGCATCCTTGTCACATCCATGTGCATTTATCTTTTTCTTCGCGCATCCTTTTCTTTAGCAACGTGTGATTGGAGCAGTTTTGAAAGGTTATTGTTATTTATTTAAGGATTTCGTTTGAGTTTAAAAAAAAGTGTATTTAAATAATCTTTCGATAAATACAGTAAAGATTTGAGTTAAAATCGAGGTGCTTATTTGGTTGACAGCACGGTGGAGGACTGATTCTTTCTGAAATATTGATTCTTTTTACGATAACTTTTCAGATAACAACAGTAAAATAACAATAAGATATTCGTATGATTTTATTCATATCGAGCACTTGATACACGTATTAACATCTATGAAATTATTTTAATTTCAGCGATGCTTGTAAATGTATACAAGTATACGTACATGCTATGTCTAATTAATTATTTTTATACATGTTGTATCAACTTAGTACTTAATATATCATTCTTTAAATGAATTGCCGCAATTAAAATAATTTAATAAAAACTTACTCGTTAATACATGTATGAAGTTCTTGATATAAACTGGGGCTGTCTTTTATTTATCTACTGTTAATTAAAAAATCGTACTATATTTTAATTTTGACCTTATTAATAGACAATTTTTAGATATTAATCACAGTTAATCAGTAATACAGAAGGTGATTGCACTCGTCAAACAAGATACAGAATACAATCCATCATCCATTCCAGATGAGGTGTTACAACTTTTGGTGCGAACTAGAACTTACATACTAATTAAAAAGATTAATAAAAAGCAATATGTGCGAAATGAAGAAAGAAAAAAAGAAGAAAAAAATAAAAAAAGTTATTTCTAATGTTATTTCTAATGTTGCAAAAAAGGTCTCTATTTAACTGCTAATTTGGTTTTAAATGCATAAATGTTTAACTTCATTTAATTACTTTTAAACGTTAATTTATTAACTTTTCTTACATTAAAATTTCTTTTATCTTTTGATACCAATATTGTCTTTTCAGCTTTTGATACTATATTTTTTTAATTTTTACGTGTATTTTTGAACATCAAAATATATATAAATATAAAGAATCGTATGAACATATATAATTATATACCAAATACATATTCATCCTTCTCCGTTTTGTGTAATTATGCATTGATTCTTTTTTTATACAGTAATTCATATGACAAATAACACTAATGAGAAAACATAAAAGATATTTAGAAAGATAATTTTCGTATTGTTTCTTTTTTTTTTAAACACAAGTTTGGAGAAACTTATAGCGTTTTCGATTGGGAAAAAATTAGTGCGCACCAGTGCGCATTCAGTTCATACCAACACTGGACGAGTTCCATGGGTTGCACTGAATAGTGCAAGTTCAAAAGAACACGCCAAAATTTTCAGTGTTAAAGCTGAAATGCCAGTTCGAGTTGTAACATTGTAAGGACTTGACTAAAATGCAGAAAGAACGCAGAAAAATAATTTTGACATCTCATAACTTTAAATAATGATTTTGTACTATACGTAATTAAATAATATATAAGATATCAAGAATATCATATATGTACATACTTATCAATAATTGTACATATTTGCATGCTATAAATTACAGATTTGCTTGTCCCTACTGTATATCCTTTTATACTGTGACAAAATGATGCACTGATATCCTATATATATATATATATATATCTAGTGCACTGAACTGGCACCGTCAAAATATCTTGTGCCACTTAGTGCGCACTATGCGAGTGTCGTGCGGTCAAATGAACACGTGACACTAGCCAAGTGCGCATTGGCACTGCCAATCGAACACGCTCTTGACACTGAGTGCAGCAAGTGCACTCCAATCGAAAATGATATTAAAAGAATTGCTCACATATAATTACGTATAATTTTGTATAATTTATTTTCTTTATTATGTTAATTCTTTTTACATATTATTCTTCATTTATAAATTATGTTTATGTACAAGTTTATTTATAATTATATATTATCCTTTATAATCCTTGTTTATTATATTAGCCGTTATTTATAGATTGTAATACTATATCTGATGAAAAAGTTTATTAAACATTAAAAACATTGTCTCATTTATCGTCCCTGTGCTTTTTATGTTGAATGTAGGGTACATTTTATTGTAGAATATATATATATTTTATAATTCTACGTTACAGTATATTCACTGTCGCTACGCTATACATAATAAAAAGAAATCGATAGAGGTTAAATGCGTGCGTGCAAGACAATTATTTTGTCTTTAGGTTGACAGCACTGGATGCCGAACTGTCGGAAAAGGAGCGAGAGGGCAAAGAATTAGAGAGAGACACTTGCAAACTGCACACACTATGTTATCCTTCCACCATGGAGAAAACGTACCTGGATCACAATAAGTGCGTCCTTTTCTACTTGGGTATCAATCATGAAACTATCTTTAGGATGGAAAGTGAAAAGTGAAAATTTTAACCATTGAAGTTAATGGAGAAATTTTTCATTTTTCTCTTTTCATCCTAGGAAAAAAGTTTCGTGATTGACCCCCTGAGCTTTGCTCTCACTCCTTGAATACGCGGTCTAGAGATATTATGTCTATAGGAGTGACAAGCCAACTCATTTACACCTCATTTATGGTGCAGCTACATATCAGGGGTTCTATTCTTGAAAAGAAACGTATACGAAAAACTAGGAAAATACTATAGTATACGTAACGTATACTGTAATATTTCCCTAGACTTTCGTATACGTTTCTTTTCAAGAATAGACTCCCTGCATTCTATCATATATCGTCTCGTAGAAGAAATATTTTACCATGAAACTCGTTTTGGCTTGTATTTTACGAAGCTTCGAAGTAAACCTATCTTTATGCTGATATTTTATCTCCAAGAAGTAATATTACGTCATAAAACTTTTTTGGTTTCTTTTTTTATAAAGCTGCGAAGGCGCGTACAGAGCCGGATTTTGCAAATTTTGATTCTTGAAAATTTTTTAATAATAAAATTATGTGCTCCTTAACTGCACTATAGTAC